TGCGGCGCCCGCGAAGCATAACAGTAAAGTAACGAAATCCTGCAGCCAGGACACCAACTTCAAAGCCAGCGAGAATGCCCTTGCGTCGAGCCCCATATTTTTGCCACCCAATGAGGCGTTCCGCTCCCCACCTTTGCCCTATCCGAGAAGTTACCTCCCGTATCCCGTTCCGGAGGGTATCGCGATAAGCCCTTTATCCCTCCATGGAAAAGGCCCCGTATATCCTCACCCGGTTCTCTTGCCCAATGGCAGCCTCTTCCCTGGGCACCTGGCTCCCAAGCCCGGCCTTCCCTACAGCCTGCCGGCGGGACGGGGCGAGTTCATGACTTACCAGGATGCGCTGGGAATGGGGATGGTGCATCCCATGTTGCTGCAGCACTCGACTCTGGAGATGAACAAGGACGAGAAGCCGGAAAGGAGGTCACGGTCTCACGAGAGGCTCCGCTATGAGGATCCCGCTCTGAGGAGCCGGTTGCCGGAGCTCCTCGAGCCCAGCGGGAAGCTGCATTTCGAGGTGCCCAACGACAAGACCGTGAAATTGCACCAAAGCTCCGGCCATGGGAAAAACTCCACCAAAAGCGACAAACACCTCTTCCCAGACCTCTTGCGAGATGAGCAAGATGCTAAAAGTGAAACAAATTTAACGAAACCCGTCTTTGCTACTGAAAGCAGTAATCAGGCTAATGACCCTACAAAGCACAAGGTAGAACAAGCGTCTCAGCACAGGGATTTTATTGTGATGAGAGAGGAGTTTGGAAGAAATAATGATCTTCACGAAACCTACAATTTTAAGCAAGCCCAGAGTTCGTCGGTGTTCAGCTTAAGGAAAGAAGATTTATCCGTAAGCCAAAATAAAGAGAGAGTAATGGTGCAGCCGCCTTCCGCTTTCTTGGAAGCGGCGCACGAGGGCGACGGCCCAGCACTGTCCTTCGGCAAAGCGCAGGACGACGCCAAGCAGTTCTGCATGGGAGCTGTGCAGCCGGGCCTCGACGCGAGCCAGGCGTATACCAAAGACGGGGCCGACGACGCCGAGTCTGCCGAGGGCAAAATCCTGAAGCCCAAGCCCTCCAAGCTGGCGAAGCGCATCGCGAACTCGGCGGGCTACGTAGGTGACCGCTTCAAGTGTGTCACGACGGAGCTGTACGCGGACTCCAGCCAGCTGAGCCGGGAGCAGCGCGCGCTGCAGGTGAGTCCGCGTGGCCGAACGGCCGCAGCGCTTTGTGATTATTGCTCTGTTGTTAAGTCGCAGTGGAGGATTAAAGTTGGCATAAGCAGCGCAGGTTGGGGAAAGGAGGTATTTGCGGTCAGGGCGTACTGATCAGGAATGGCTTTAGAAGGCAAAAGCAAGTTTGTTAGTTAAAGTTAGGCTATGTAAATAATAACTTGTATATATGGATTTTATTTATGTATTTGTTAGTAAGCTTTACAGGACTTTTAATAAGATCTGGTTAAAATGTTAACGTATGTATTAAATGTTTTTGCAGTTACGGAGGGGCGTCAGAAAGGAATGCATGTTATGTCGAGCTAGTGATTGCAGTAATTTCTCAGCTGGCCGGTGCTGTCAGATAGCAAAGCGTATCCAGGAGGTGTGATCAGTATGCCAGACGTGACGTTTGGTGGAGAGGAGTAGCAGCCATGTATTATTGGGACTTACGCAACATTTTCACCGGGCAAATACGTAGTAAAGTGTAGAAGCAGTATTGAAGTTTGATGCTGAGGGATGGCAGAGAGATATTGTGTACGAATATCCTTAAGGTATTTCTACTTTTAATGAACGGATGAGTTAAGCCAAATTGTTTTGCATTGTTAAGAAAAGAATTGGTTTATGCTTATAAAAATGGATGAAATTATCTAAATGATCCATTGAGTGCCCATTTTAATTACATAGATGGAAGGATTACAAGAGGACAGTATTTTATGTCTACCTGCTGCTTACTGTGAGGTCAGTTCTTCAAATTTTTATTACTAGACTCTTACATAAACCTTTGAGTTAAATTTCATTTCCAAATACACAAAGGGAAGTTTGTGGGCCATGGTCGTCTTTATTCATTGTACAGTTTTGTGTTTTGTTTTTGTTTTTGTTTTTGTCTTTTTTTACCTCCAAAATGGAATGTCTTTTTTAATGTTTTTATATACAGTATGCATTTATTTATATATATATTTATATACACATATATACATATATATGAAAGAACTGTGTGGATATTTACCTATAGATGCTAGAAGTTTGTATACTGTTTTATAAGTCAGGTGTTTTAAACTCTTAACACTAGATATGTATCTCAAGCCTTGATTTTGAGCAGGCTTTTTTCTTTGGAAATGCTTTCATATAAGGTAAGGTAAATGAAGTAGCTTTTATCGCAAGACTTTTCATATCAATTCTCTTTCTAGCGTGCAATGATGCGCTTCTCAGAGTTGGAGATGAAAGAGAGAGAAGGCCAAACAGCTACCAAAGACTCAGAGGTCTGCAGATTCAGCCAGGCAGACTGGGAAAACTTGAAAGGAAACAGTGAAAAGAAGCCAAAGTCTGTCACTCTGGAAGATGCCATTGCTGACCAAAATGACAATGACAGATGTAAGCGAATTGGGGTGCCTTTCTCAAGTGTGCAGTGTAATCTTTGTATCGCCAGGGTGTTGTTGGTTAGAGTAAGTAATGGATGAGCTTGCAAAGCTCTGCCTCTGTAGGCTGCTCTGCGATGTCCATTGCGCTCCGTGCTTGGCTTTTGCATCTTTTCGTTGCAGGTTGTGGTTGCATCTGCAGCATTATTGCTTTTTTTACTTTTTAACCTTTAAAAAAAAAAAGTCACCTATGCTGAGTATTGCAGAACCAGGGAAAACACATCCCGCTGCAGGCTTTGGTTGTGGGTGTTTGTGTGTGTGTGTGTGTGTGTGCTCGTGTAACTTTGTGGCTGGCCACGCTCATCTGCAGGTGCCGATTAGTGAGGAAGGCTGGGGGAAAATCTCACTTGGGCAGTTTAATAGCTCTGAATTACTGTTCTGCTCTTTCTTGAACGCAAATTTTGGCACAGTTGTGTAGTGGTCAGTTGTACTCACTCGGTTTCTCACCTAAAACAAGTTACTTGGGGTATTTTACCATTGCTGAAATAACAGCATGAGCAAAAAGTTCGCCTGGTGAAAGAGCAAGGGGAAGTTTTAATTGTTGAAATGTGGCAGATCCCAGTGTGGGGCTGGAAGCAGAGCACGCGCTCCCTCCCCTCGCGTGGACGAGGTGTCTGAGCAGGGAGGCAGGGCCGCGCTGCTGCGCACGGCTGCTGCGCGCCCTCCGCTTGCTCCCGCGCGGGTCCTGCGTGCCGAGCGCGCTGCCGAGCAGGGGGAAGCGTGCTCCGTCTTGCGCGAGTTTGTCCTTCTGCTCTGCTACGGAGCTTGGAGCTAACAGGGTGTTTCGGAGCTTGGCCTCGTCCCTGAGCCTCTCGGAGCGCGGATCCGCTCCGCCGTGGCCCCTCACTGCAAGCTCTTTCTCACGGCGTTTCACCCCCCGGCCCGCGGGATAGCGACTGGCAAACAGGGCCGCCGCGTTTCGCGCTCCTCGAACGCTCCTGGTGCAGCGGCTCGGCGCGCCAAACCCCCCCGGGCGCCCCCCCCCCTCGCCGCAGGGCAGCCGTCTCGTCTCGCCTCGTCTCGCTCGCACCATAGCGAGGACCAGGGCCGGAACGGCTGGTAGCCCCTCGGCCCCCGTGCATCTCCTGAGAATACAGCAACAGCGGGAATGGCTGAATGTCGGAGCTGGAGGCTGCTTTACAGACCAATGGCAGGGGCATAGATTCCTTTAGATTGACCTGGGACTTTTTTTTATTTTTTAACCTTTTTTTTCGCTTTTGTGAACGAAGGCTTTCGCTCAGTGTCCGTTTCCCCAAACTTTTCCTTCGGCTTAATGTTTCCGGCGCTGAGAAAGTCATCGCAAGCATCGTCTTCCCTTCCGGAGGAGGGTGAAACGATTCCCACCCGACTTCAGCTGCGCTGCCCCAGCCCGCGAGAAGCGTGAGCCGAGGGGTAGCGCGGCAGCGGCGTCATTCCCGCCGCCTTCCCGGGGATGTGCCGGGCACTCGTTGCCAAGGTGACCGGTAAATGTTGCTGGGGCGATGGTTCCGCGGAGCTCCCGCGGCACCGCCGTGCCAAGCGAGGGGCCGCGTGTGGCGCGAGTCACGGGGCCGCTCGGAGCCGGAGCGGTTTAGGCTGCTGGCACGGGCGCGCGCGCCAACATGGGTACGTGCTGAGCGCGGGGCGGTCTGCAGCAGAGCTCCCTGGCGCTGCTGGGAGCGGTGCCGAAGTGCGAACGCCGCGGCGAATGCTGCAAGTTGGGAGTTCCTCGGTCAAGGAGCATCGTTACCCGTTGGTCTAATTGTACAGTAGCAAGGCGCTGCCCGCCTAATCCTAAAGTGAGGAGAGAAAAAAAAAAAAAAAAAAAAAAAAGAAAAGGAAAAAGCTGGTCTTGAGGCATGGGGTTACGAGGAAGAAATTGGAGTTCGAGTGTGCGGGAACGAAACACTGTGGTTTGCAGGAGTGTTTAAGGACACATCGCCACTGTCGGAGCCCAGTGCCAGGGGTCCTCTGCATAGTCGTAGGCAGCTCTTGTTTTTTCTACCTAGGCAAAGGAAAGGCTGAAACAGTAAATATGTCCTTTGCCCTGGTCAGTGTCACCGCCCTACAGTGGGACAGAGTGCAAAAACAAAACAGGGAGGATGGAGGGAGGATGGCAGGGGTCTGTTTGCTCAGCACGGTAGGCTGAGACAGAAGGAAACAAATACAGAAAGTTCCCAAGGAAAGATGCTTTGGACAGGAAACAGAGCCGCCTGGATTTCCTCTGCCCCTTGGGATACCTGAAATGAGGTGCTGAAGGTGACTTACCGAATTATTTTACCTGCGCTGTGAGCTTGATGCCAAGTACCGGTTTCTAGCATTTGGATAGTCATTAGCCAGTGAAGAGTTGGAATGATGCATAAAAAATAAAAGCTTCCTTGCCTAAGTAAGTACAGGGAGCGGTTGCTTAAGGGGAGAGGAAAGGCTGTTTTCAGCTGCCATGTTAGCTGAACAAAAGCGTCGCCGCGGAAATGCCAAGATGCGTTCCCTTGTTTGCCTTGCGCGGGAGACCCTGCTCTCGGGCAGGTCTTGCGCCAACAGCAGCAGAAAGGTGGAAGAATGAGGGAAAGTTTGTATCTTTTCTTACTTTCCTCTCTCCTTTTTCCGTTTGTAGCAGGTGTGTGTGTAGGTATAACTGTTTCTCGTGCGGTGCTGAGCAGCGCGCTAAGGAGGTGCCGCTTCAGGCAGAAATGTTGCGTGAGAAGCATCTCCTTAACTCCTCCCCATTTCCGATTTTGTAGGACAGTGAGAAGGGGGTTGAATTGCTGGTGCTGGTTCTCACAGCTGCTGTAGGACTAGCAAGTGCTCGTTTGGTGAGAAACGAACGCGTTTAGGAGTTTATCTCCTTTCTCGGGGAAGTGTGTTGCTATGAGAACTCGGCATTTAGCTTGTTTCTGGCTACCTCGTTGCTGTGTGAATAGTGATGATGTGAAAACTCAATGTATTATATTGCTGTTTTCTTTCCTTTGGGCAGAGAAAAGGATGTTGTAGATATATTTGGGAGGGGGACATACAAGCAAATCGATTCTCCTTGCCCTTCTTGGGTGTGTGAGATATGTTCGTGTTGTTGTGCTTTGAGTTGACTTTTACATCTTAGTTTGGGGAGACGCTATGCCTGATACAGGTAACTTGCAGAATGGTTTGAGGACAGAGCGGAGTCTGCTGCTAAAATATTAATGTAGTTCATCGGGCATTGCAGCTGTGCTGAGGAGAGGAGGAGAGCACCGCTGGTCAGTGTCCCAGTGAGGTGTCTGAGGGCAGTGACTGCTCTCGGTGGTGGCCAACCACTCGCTTTCTGGACAAGCTTCAACAGACGCAGATGAAGAAACGATGACAGCCAAGAACTGTTAAAGAGGTTAAAGCAAACGCCTCCTCCCTGTCCCCGCTTTTATTTTTTAGCATCGACTATCTGTGAAGACCCAGGCGGCCTGTGTGCCTCTGCCAAGTCCTCTTGCAGACAGCAAAAGAGTTAATCTGAAGCCAGTTGATTTCAGTGGTGGCGAAATGGAATTAGATTGCCGCTTCCTGCAAGCCCCAAAGATTAAGACCATCGTAAACCCTGGGTAGCCTGCTACTTTTCCTGACCCTTCAAAAGCTTCTCCGGGAATTAGTCAGGATGTGCCTGCCTTTTCTCAGGGCAGGCAGTGCTGTGAGCAGGAAGCCTGTCCCAGTTTTTAGGGATATTGGGGGTCATCCGGGGTGTTTCTGGTGGGGCTGGGAGTGCGCTGACCTGCTCTTTCACCTGCCGTCACAGGGATGCCGAGCCCGCCGCGCCTCCCTGTGTCAGGGTGCAAGGAGAGCGGGTTGTGGTCAGGCTGTCAAATGAAATCCGATAGAAGCATTTCCAGAGTGATCCTTAAAGTGTTGCTGGTCTGGACGGCTTCTTTTACGCTGCGTGACGCCACGTGCGCCGTGCTGCTGGTGCGGTGATAGGGCACAACTGTTGTGCAGCATCTTTGTGCCACATGTGCACGTGCGCGGTGTTTGCAGGTCCGTTTGGGTCTGGGGAAATGCTGCGTGGTTAAAGGCACGGTTGGCGCTTACTGAGATACTTACTTTCTTCTTCTGACCCCTTAACTCTTGTAGAGGTACTTGTCAGCATTGCTGGCCCAAAGGACTGCGACAATCTCTGTCTTAAAGCCTTAAAGCGAGCGGGTGTTTCACCTGATGGGCGCGGGGGAAGAAGAAGGGCCCAAGCCCGAGTGTCCCGCTCGCCTGCAAGCAGTCGCCTTTCCCTTGGCCAGATCATCTGGCGCTGTTTCTAAAGCAGCACCGCGGCAGCCGCTTGTCAGGCAGCGCCAAATGACGCTGCGGTGTCCTCCAGTGTCAGCAGGCGCCTCCAGGGCCCTAGGCACCACACGCAGCTTTTCCCCAGGTCGCAGCGAAGAAAACGCTCCTCAGAGAGGGGCTTTTATTCTCTGCCTTCCGTTGCTGATTAGAGATATTTTGGGGTCGGTCGTGAAGCCAGCAGGTGTTGGCAGAGCTGTAGGAAGGTGCTCTCGAGATAAAAGCGCGAACACGCTTGGACCTTATCCAGGCGCTGCCACCGCCGAGATAGCGGCAGCAGGAGCTGGGCAGGAGGAGAGGGGAGGCTGCAGAGGACAAGTGGTTGTCCCGGGGAAGGGGATAAGCCCAAGGGGACGGGCCAAAAGGGGTGGAAAAAGGGTTTGTTGGAGTGACGACGGATGGGAAAACTAGTCAAGAGAGTAAAGCAGCAGATCTGTTTGCAGGAGGGGAAGTGAACCTGCACGAAGGGAAGTGAGAGAAGGGGAGACGGCGAGGAGGAGGAAAGGGAAAAGGGATGTTGGGCCCTTGGGAGGTGGAATAGAGAATAGAGAGAATTTGTCGAGCAGCGGCAGCAGTGTGAAAAGAATATAGTAGTTAGCCGGGAGCGCTGGGAAGCACGGGAACGCCAGCGTGCCGGGGAGGGTTGTAAATAGGAAGCTGATGAACCGCGTGGCGCTCCGTGCGGCACGTCTGCGTTGTCGTGCCTCAGCTAGGTTGGCTCAGCTCGAGACAGAATGCCTTTTCAAGGTGCTGATTAAGTGCCCTTTTGAGCCAGGCATCCATTTAAAGTTCCTTGAGGAGTCTCTGAATTTGGGGGAGGAATATTGTTTGAGGGGGTGGGAGGAGGCTGAGGGTTACACGCGAGCGTGGCTACAGAGGTTATTTGTGCTAGTTTCTAGTAAGCGTTTTAAGGCTCACGTGGTCGCTGCTGCTGGAAGGATGTCCTGGACAAGTGCAGAGTTTGAAGTGACACATTGTGTGATAACATAAACTGGCTCGTTACTCCAAGCAAGGAAGCCTTTTTATAACCCTAAGTACTTTTTGTGAAATATTATAGCTATTCTTAATGATATTCCTCTGCGTGTGCGTGTGCGTACGCGCGCATTTCCCTTTTGTGTCTGCAGAAAAAGGGACAAATGCCTTTACTCAGCATCTGCATTTGCTGCAAGGAGCAGAGAAAGACTCTGGATTAGTGAAAGACTACCTTTTATTATCGGCAGAAAGTATTTACTAAAAAAAGCCCTTGCAAAGTGAAGCTTGGATTACTACTTGTCAGGGCTTTGGGGGAGTGAGGTTGCTTTCTGAAAAGAGTCCATGCTTTCCATGTTTGAAGCTTTTTCTTTATTTTTTAAAAAGCGTATTTTGATGTTTCTATAGATGCATGCATTATGAATGGTGTACTTCGTATTGATCTATAAAAAAACACAATGTGCACTTGGGGGGGGATTAGTTCTTACCTACTCTGTTTCTTATGCCTCATTTTTTATTTGTAGGTAACTTTATTAGCAGAGAAAGCAACCAAGGTCACTTTCTTGAAGCTCCAGAGGAAAAAGATATCTCAAATGAGAATTGTTATTTAGAGAGACATTCTATATATGAGAAAGCGGAAGAGCCGCCAGCGGAAGATATTGGCCAACATCCATGTCCACGTCTGGACAGGAAGCGTAAACACTCTGGTGAGAGAGTGCAAAACGATGGCAGCCAACACGACAACTTTATGGATGAGCTGCAGGATGAAGTTTTATCAAAGGCAAAAAAGAAGAAGATCTGCAAAGGTAAATGAGCGTTTTCCTTTGATCTCTCTCAAGGAATGTCTTGTGAAAGGAACGTCCCTTTGGCTTAATGTGTTTCCATTTATGAACTTGATAGTTACTAATGTGAGCACTGTCATTTCACTTAAAATTATATATATGTATATACATGTATGTGTATATATATGTATATCTCTCTGTCGAAAAATAAATACCTTGGTATATAAGGGTAAAGCAGTAGTCATTGGGCGCTGTAGCCACAGCAGTGCAAGTTACTGTAGTGCATGTAACCCGTAATGAGCGAACCTTTAAAATGCATAGTGTGGTGGTAAAGCTGAGACTATATGCCCCGAAAGTGAAATGTAGCTTTTGTTTTAAGTTGAGGGGGCTTTTTGATTAATTTTTAGTTATTTTTCCATTAGATGACTGGCCTGAGAGGGAAATGACAAACAATTCCTCTAACCACTTAGAAGAGCCCAATTGTAATGAGGTGACCAACCTGAAGGTGTGCATTGAATTAACAGGGCTCCATCCCAAAAAGCAGCGTCACCTGCAGCACCTTAGGGAACTATGGGAGCAGCAGGTGTCACCAGAGAGATCCCCGTCCGGCAAGTTGGGCCGGCAAAGCAGGAAAGATTTAGCTGAGGCTGTTCAGCCAGAGACCACTGCAAAGGTCAAAGACTTCACAGAAGAAAGGCCCACCAAGAAAAGGTCAGAGGCCAAAAGCAATAGAAGTTGGTCTGAAGAGTCCCTCAAAACAAGTGACAATGAACAAGGTATGCAGAGACTACTAGGGAAACCAGCTGGCTTGAGCATTTTAGTGACGCATGCTGCCACCGATGTTAAGGAATTGTCGAGAGCTTTTTCTTTTTAATTGCTTAATATATCTCTGGAGATGTCCATCTGTATAAGGACGGAACGCTCCACTCTAAAGAAATGCACCGTAGCTGATAGTTGGCGGAGAAGAAGATGTGTTTGTGTATGTGTGTGTAACCGTATGTGTTTGTGTGTGTGTTTTGACTTGGAATAATTCTGTCATAGCTATGTGGGGAAGAAGGTTGTCTCCAGAAGAGGCCTGGGGTTTGGGGAGGGCATTTAGTGCAGGCATGTTTCTGAGTGAGGAGGAAGGCGAGCAGGTCACTAGCGCGCGTAAGCGCGTCTAAGCCCAGCTGAGCTGTGAGTGGGCACGACCTGCTCTAAGACAGTGTAAGTACTACTAGGAGTTTTGTATCTGGGGAATCCAACGGCTCCATCATCCCTGGGACTGCTGAGTTTCCTGGCCTTTTCCAAGGCTTGCAAGAAGGAGGCTCATGGCCCTCTCTGCGAGGACGCCTGGCTGGTTCGTCTTGCTGCGTGCAGAGCTCCCTCCAAGGGGGTCTCTTCCTCCAGGGATGTCCGCTCTCTGTCACTGCTGTCCGGCTGCCTTCCTCGCTTGCTTCCCTTCCTCTTCGTCTCCGCTCTGCTCGCTCCCCATCCTGGGGAAGTGCTTTGAGGCAGCGTGTCCGATTCCTTCCTGCGCGCAGGAAACGCTGCATCCCCCCCGCCTCGCGGGCCTGTCCACCGCAGCGTCCTCGCTTGTCTTCCCACCTTTCCTCTCGGTGGGATTGTCTGAGGGCAGAAAACCCCAAACTTGGATGCTTATTGATGGGGAAGCTTCTCCAGAAGGACTTGTGAAGCAGAAGATGAAAACTGACTTGAAAAGGGGCTTGGACTCTCCGTCCCTTGCTTGTGAGCATGGGGTGCACTCACAGATCCCTGCTCCTCATCAGCCTTTTGTGCTTTCAGAAGGAGATACCTTGTAGAGATTTGAGGCGGGTCGCTGGCAAGGGGCTGCGTTATGCAGGGCTGCTCTGGCCTTCCTCTGCGGTGCCTCCTGCGATAGCACAGGCTGCTCCAGCACAGCTCCTCAGGATGGAGAGGAAGGTGGCTCCCATTTCCACACTGCTCCCGAGGGCGCTCAGATGCAGTCACCCCGTGGCTGTGAAAAACCTTTTGGTTTGGAAGCCTCTGCAAAACCATAAACGTGGCTAAATTATGCCTCACCATCCCTTGCGCAGAGCTCGCTTTGCTAACGTGCTCACAGCCCCACTGAAGTGCAAACCTTCGGATCTCCTTTTTTGTGGCTCACTGGGACGAGGATTTTTCTCCCCAGTGCATAACGCAGAGCTCTCCGTGTGACCTTTGCACAGGGAAGGAGGTGATTTTCGCTTTCCTTGCCCAGGAGTAGCCCTTGTTTTTCTCTTAAAGCGTGCAGTTCCTTGGAGGGGATCCATGGCATCCTGCAGCGGGAGCAGCCATGGTTTGCAAGCAGAGCTGTCGCTGAGCGGCCGCCCCTGTCCCCCTGAGCCCGTGCGCCCGGTGGCCTCTAGCTGT